TTCAAGGCGTTCTTCATTATGATGAATGATGTGTGAGCCTTGATCATGTGCGAGGTCATACTCCATGATTTAATTCTGGCATAGGTGTGTGTGTGTGTGTGTGTGTGTGTGTGTGTGTGTGTGTGTGTGTGTGTGTGTGTGTGTGTGTGTGTGTGTGTGTGTGTGTGTGTGTGTGTGTGTGTGTGTGTGTGTACGGACAGGACACAACAAGCCAACCTCACCGCAGACTGGGAGGTTTCCTGTGAAAGTGATCCTTTTGCAAACTGTTTGTTTAAAAGCTGACAGGCAACAAGAGTCTCAGTGACAGCATCTATTCATCTCAGGGTGTCAGGCGGAGAGAAAAAGAGGGTACGAAGAAACATAGAGAGAGGAGGCGGATGAAGAGAGATGGTAGGAGTAAATGGGAGAGCAGTAAGCTTTAACAATAGTCTACATTTACCTTTAGCTTTGAAACATCTTCAGATCATCGTGGTTGCAGAAATTCATCTGGCGAGTGACTGAATGAGTGCTGATGTTTTCATCACTTTGGTTTTAATTATATGTCTCACTCAGCACAGTCTTCCTTCTACTTGGCTAATTTAGATTGAGATCCTTCCAGGCTTTCCCCTATCTTTCATTTCCCTCCCCTTCTTCTCTCCTCTCTGCATCCCATCAGCCCCTTTGTAGAAAAAAAAAGAGGAAGGGAAAAAAAAAACCTTCATGTCTGTGACTTTCTTGCCCTCCAGCGTATGAAGCCCTCTTTTATTTTGATCATCGCAGCACAATGGATTCATGCCATTCTGGCAACTTTATTCAGTATCAGCCCAAATTTACATACTGCTTAACAAGTTTGTGCGTGACTGTTGATGCCTCTGATCAAAGTGCTTTTGGAAATCTTTCTCATCTGATTTTTTTTTTCTTCCCCTGCCCTTCATTTCAAATGCATGCTGCAGACAGGCATCTTTAACTCAGGGGCAAAGAAAGGTAACCTTAGTGCTGCACAAGCCCAAATGTCATCCAACAAGGAGGGCTCGGGTCCTGGGGATAAAGATAATGTAATCTAAGCAGTATACAGTGTGTGGCTGTGTGTGGCTTTGAGTGTGTGTGAATCTATGCTAGCCTTGGTGTTTGTTAGAGGCTTGGGTTTGGGGGCGGAGGGAGACAGGGGGATGACAAAAGTCAAAGCAGTCATGTGTCATTTTTGGTGCTGAAGGGCTGGGACCTGCCTGCAGGGCTGTCCTCTCTGTCAGACGCACTCACATATCTGCGCTCAACTCTCTCGCTGTCTCTTTTTTCTTTCGCTCTCTCCATCTTTCTCTCTGTCTTTAGTGAATGCACGAACTGATTTGCAGCTGCACCAGAACACGCAATAATTCTTTGCTCTGAGTAGCATAAAGTAACAAGGTGGAACATTCATATCTTTGAAGTATTTTAAACAGCACCTTTTTTTACTATAAACATCTGATTTAGATTTTTTTTTTTAAATGCAGGGAAACTTAAATGATTGAGTCTTGACTTCATTTGCAACAACAAAAAGACTTGAAAGGACAAGATTTGTTCTGTGACAACTGATAAAACATGCGACCAAAACGGTGAGGGTGCAACCGAACAAGCAGGGGGAAACGTTTGACAAAGATCTGCTTGTAAATCAAGATAAATCAAAGGCCACGCTTCAAACCAAAGCCCTATAAAATTCCCATGGGATAGAACGGGAGGCAGCACAGAATATGTACTGTAGCTACGAACCCAGTAGTCTTCGTTTACAATAACTCAGTACATTCGTAAATATACGCGGCGAGCAGAGCAAACAACAGAATTGAGAACATTAAATAAGTGAGAAAGAAAAATGGATTCAAAAATACAATGAGGAGAGGGTGTGGGTGGAAAGAGAGGAATCGTGGGAATGCAAGATTGCACCTCCCTCAGGCAATCGAATTATCCTATGGGCTGATGGTTCCTCCTTATGCGTCGGCTGACATTTTCCTGTAACCCCATCCCAAGTAATGCTATGTGATGTGTGTGACTGGCTTCTGCCACGGCCCTGAGAGGCCACGGAGCCCCGAAGCCATTTGCTTTTGGCCCCGCAGCATCCTGGGAATTGTTTATTTTAGCTCTGTCTGCTCCTTTTTGCCTCTCAGTCTCATTTAGCTTTCTCTTTCCCCGTCTCTCCAGTTCATTCTCTTTCTGGCCCAGTGGTGTCTACTTTCAATTAGAGTAGGATGCACTAGTATTCTTCTGAGAGACAAAAGCCCTGACAGGTGACTCTTGAGGGGTAACTAAAAACCTCGCCTTTAGCGTCTTCACACAAACTGTTAGTATAGCAGCACCTTTCATGACACACAAAGGTACAAAAAAACAACTGAGGCTGTCGGTGGTATCCGATACTCAACTGTACATGTAGCTCTGTGTGATGAAGATAAGAGTGTGTGTGTGTGTGTGTGGGGGGGGGGGGGGGCGGGCGAAAAAAGTTAAAAATCAAGATGTGCTGTGTTTCTTGTATGTGTGTAAGAGAGAGAGTGAAGAGATTTAAGGACAGAGAAGATAAGATGCGCGATATGAGATAATAGAATGATATTCAAAATGTATCCCCGGAGCTAAAAGTTAAAAGGGAACATTATAAGAGAACATATTTTGATCGCTTATGGATATGTAAGGCAGTGCACCAAAATGCCCAAACTTTACTTCATACTGCTGCAGACACCCTGAAGGGCATAAGTGGAGGCGGTCCAATCCGCTATACTCAAACAGTGTATGTGTGGAACTGTCGACATGTGACAAGCAGAAAAGGGACAGTGTTGAGAGCGTAGCCTTTTATGACCCAACACACTTTGACAGCTTGGCCATCGCTCGAGGACATGAGCAATGTTGCTTTTTCATCTGACAATTTTTAAGCAAAACAACTCTCCCTCGATGGAGTCGATTGTTCACAGAGCCTTTGTGGCTGTGTGTTAAAGCACAGAGACAAAAACATGTCAGCAGCCCGTAGATTCTGTTCACCGTTAGCTAGAGGAGGCATACTGTCAATCTGTAGGACAAAAAGTGAGATGAAAAGTGTAAAGGATACGATGGGTGAGCTGCTTTTATGCAACACTGCGCTCTGCTGGTGGAAGGTGAGAACACCTTGAGTAATTCAGCAGCAGCCAGACAGTCTTAACGGAACACTAATGCAACCTTCAATCCTTGGGGATGCAAATGTCTGTGTGCTTTTACCCTTGAAGCAGTTGCCTTATTTGGACCTGAGGACATTATGCACTGACAAATTTTAAACATCCCATGAGGGGGTGCTTTGAAATATGGCCACAGGGTGGCACATTAGAATGACAAAAATGTAGATCCTCAAAGTGAAATCTGCCTGTGACTTGGTAATCAGCCCCACAGAGGACTAATGGATATTGAAGAGGTTCAGACTATATGTTCTTAATACAAGCAAACACAAACAGGGCACAGGCCATCTTTCTCAGTGTTTCTTTTTTATTGGCTACAACAATAGAACACACTTTGTTTATGTGCATGACGGATCAAGAGAAAAGAGATATGGGCGCTTTAAAAAAAAAAAATGTGCTCACAGTACAACCATGTTTGCTGTTTGTATGTGCAATAGGCCTGTAAGCTCTGAGTGTGTGAGTGTGAGTGTGCATACAAACAATGCACTCAGTCGATAGCCCCCAGCAGTGTGCATTCTTGCTTGGAGAGTACATTTCCTCGGGCCTCGTTCCTCCGCCGATGACCTCTGGTGAAGCCATTATTTTCTGCATTAATGATGAGCAGCAGCCAGCGATGAGAGAGATGGACTTTGTCCTGGGGCGCAGTAGCGCTGATTATGGGCAACAACAATGCCAGCTAAAAAAAAAGGGAAAGAAAAAGAAAACTCTTCCCACAAGCAGTTCAAAAGACGAGGAGTCTTAGAGGCAGCACTGAATAAGCTGCTCTGGCTCTATTGACAAGATGGATCAGATAACCTCTGTAGCTAGAGGATTAGCCAGAACAAAACTTTATTAAAGTTCACCTTTAGCTTATTTTGTCATCCAGTGGATCTACAACCTGAACATCAACAAACCAGTGGCCGTTACAACATATCACATTCTGACATTAAGTATGTTATTGTGGGGCAATTGGCCTCTGGTTAGGCGAGCCAAGAGTGTCATACAATTGTAATTACCCTCCATGGATTTAATGACATTATGTATAGGAGCTAATATCAGAAGCTTAATTGATCCTCTGACACTAGCCCAAACACCCACCTATAACACTCACAAACAAGACAAATTGCAGACAAAGTGCAATTGCTCTAGTCAAGGCAGCCAGGGCACCCACTCAGGAAATCCTGGCTTGGGGAGCTGACTCTAAATGAAGGACTTTACCATTCACCATTATGTCTTTGGTGAGAGTCAGAGGGAACCCCCGGGGCTCTTCAGCACAGCACGGCACAACTTTTCAAAGGGCTCCAGATTAAAGTCACTGAAAGTTCCCACTGGGGTCTGAGGCCAGGATCCCATTAAGCAGCCCTACCACACCGCCGGCCATAATTGTGTCGTTGAGAATTCAGAGCAGTGCTTGCTTGATAAGCGAATTTAGGGTGAAATAAAAAAAGGCAAGGCGGAAAAAAGGGGGTCTCACTGGGCCACCATTAGACACTTCATTCGCTCATCGCTAATTTGTTTTAAATGACTGAGAGAGAGGTGTGCACTTTATAAAGCAATCAGAGATACCTTTTTCTCATTTCCAGGTCTACAGCAGAATGCTGATAAATGAAAACCACTGCACTTTATAGCCACAAACACTATACCGCCGCTAGCGGTGTTTTAAACTGTAGTTATCTTTATGGCAGTACTTGCTTTGCAGTAGGATAATCGATAAAGAGGGGGGACAAGAAAGAACTATCTGTTCCTCGCTCTCATTTCAAGTACCTCTACTCTTGCCTTTAAGAAACCATTCATTTTACCACTAGTAAAAACAATATTACTCTTCATACATTGACCTAACTTACTTAAAACCAGTCTTATAAACAATGTGAAAAGGCATTTTACAAACAAGTCAGCTTTTATTGAGTATTAAGTTTAAGTTTGTTTTAAACATTGTACAGAGATTATTAACCTTCAGAGCTGTTTGATGATGTATATAAAAAAACATCCAGTACATGTAGATAAAGATGTAACCCCTTAAGATCTATGCATGTGTTTCTTTAACAACATTGAACTCAATTGCTGGAAGTTAAGAAGTTGTTATTCTTTGCAAGTGGAACAGTATCACACTGACAACATTACCGGATCCCAAGTCGTGATTTAGCTCTTTACAATGAAATAAATGAGAGAAGTCAACTTTTGAAAACGTAGGAATATTTGAATCCCAAATATGCTATTGTAATCCAAGTGCAATGAAGACAAATCTTCAGTTAATTGCTTTAGGTGGATTTTTTCTGTTTCTTCTTCTCTGCCTCCTCTTCTTTTTCCTTCTCAATCTCAGCCACCAGAGTCTCAATTTCCTTGGATTCCAATATCTGCGAAAGCAAAACAATAATGCTTTAATAAAAAGGGGAAAAAAAGAAAAGAAAAAAGAAGAAGATTAAAAGTCAAAACAAACAATATCATTTGTAGTCATTCACCTTGAGTGGCTGATTCCGTCTGATAACAGCAAGCTCAATATTTTTGCCTCCTGACTGGACAACCTGTGACAAACACAAATGTATGAAGGCTGTGAGACAAGGTTTCAGAAGTTAGAAAAGGTATGACAACAACAAATGGAAAACAGTCCTTGACAAATGTGCATTTTGTTTTTATGCTTGACCAGTTGATCAACCACATACTGGGCATTTTTTAAGATATCACTGAAATGAGCACTGCATGTGCAAAAATGTGCCTCCAGAATGACCCACTATGGACTGATCGGTATCATTTTCTCCACTTTCATGTCTCCCTTGTGGGCCAGTTTTGCAACACAAAACTAGCATTATCTTAGGCGACATTGAAACATTTCTAGCCGATGACTTTATCATTTATGTCTGGTAGCCGTTTGTGATCTTTGATGAAGTCTGGACTGTCCCAATTCAACTCAATTCAAGCTGTGGTAGACTGAAAATTGTCAAGGTAATTATTTTGCACATTCTATTTGGCATTTTCATATGTTATTAATAACAGTACTATGTTAATAAAAATGCATTGACGCAAAACCTTAATTTGACCTTACCTCAAGCAAAGCTTTGATGGCCAACTTGATAGCCTCATTGTCACCTGCGATGGCTTCATCAGTGTAATTTTTCTCCAGGAACTCCCTCACAGTTTTTGCGCTACGACCGATTGCATTTGCCTGATTTTTTTCCAAGGACACAAAATGAAATTATTAATCAATTTTATACTGACATGATTAACAAGAAAACAAAGTCATAAACAAAGAGCAAACATATTTACCTTCCAGGCATGGTAAGTTCCTGACGGGTCTGTCTGATACAGCCTGGGGGTCCCATCGTAGTCAAAGCCGACAATTAACGCAGAGATGCCAAATGGCCTGCGCCCGTTGCTCTGAGTGTAGCGCTACAAATAAAATCAACTGGTGTGACTTATCACTGTTTTCAATTTTGTTACGAAAAAAATATGACATACAGGAAAAGTTTTTCAGAACCTAAATGTTTTATTGAAACTATGCATTAATATTAAGCTGTCATTGAATGTGACATTTTTCAGATAACTTTTGAAAAGATTGGTGCTGTAATGGTAGGCAGCCTGTTGCAGTAGCTCCTGTTATGTGTGTTGTTTTTTCATTCACAAGGTCCCAGCTCTGGAGTCAATTCAGTAAATTTTTTCAATCATTTTAGCACAGAGAGCACCATTAATAAACTATAAGACGATGGAGTACCTGTTTCAGTGTAGCTATGTAGCGTGTGATGTATTCCACTGTGACTGGGTCCTCAACAGTTAGCCTGTGGCTCTGGCACTCAACCCTTGCTCTGTTTATCACGATGCGGGCATCTGCAGTCAAACCTTAAAAAACATTCCAAAGAGTGAAGTTACTATACATAACACTGATTAGTCCCCTTTTCCATGTTACAAAATGAACATTTCACTTTTTTTTTTGTAGTTTTGAGGTACCTGCAAATGCCATGCAGACATGCTCGTCCAGGGCGCATATCTTACGGACAGTCCTTTCCTCCTGCAACTTTGCAACAGACTTCTTCTCAACACCAAGGACAACGATGTCTTTACCTCTGATCCCCACCTGCAAAGAATAAAAACAGCAACATTAGTTTCTGCACATCGGCAACACAGAACTTCTCATTCCCGGAAGTTGGCTATTGTTGGTATCCTAAAATAAGTACTATGAGCACACTTATCAAATGTCTTAATGTTCGGCAATGCAATTCTGGAGAGAAAATCTGTTTAGACACAAATCACCTCCCATCAGTGTTTCACACTTCTATGGTTAGCATTCCGTCTATTAAGGACTAACAAATAACAAGTGGTAATAATAAGGTATGCCTACTGGATGGTTAAATAGCTAGATAGAGGAAGCTATTTCAATGGTGCAGTAGTGCAACTCCGATCCTTGTGAGCAAGGACATGGAAGAGGGAAAGTTACTGTTGAAGAAAGTCTGGAGAACGGTGCACGAAAGCTACACTGTTGTTCCTATTTGAATGCATTATTCTGTATCATAGTGCCAAGAACTACAATTTTTTCAGCCCACAGACAGCGAGGAAAGGAAATTTGATAAGATAAGATATACTTTATTCATCCCAGCAGGGAAATTTAGGGTTTCCAGCAGCCAGCATACATACAAACACACAACACAACACATATATACATAATATCCCACCCATACAAAGAAACATGAGCCCACAATACAGTTTGATACATGATATATGCAACTCAGGCTAAAGTTTAAAAGTATAAATGTCTTCTGTCCTTACTTAAAAGGGAGTCGTTATAAAGTGCAATTGCAGTAGGTAAAAAAAAGTATTTTTAAATCTGTCCTTTTTGCAGCTTAGCCGTCCGTAGCCTCCCACTAACAACACTCTTTTGTTCACACACGAGATTGTGTAAGGGGTGCATGTTATTGTCCATAATGTTCAACAGTGTTGAACATTGTGTGGGATTACAAGAAAGTGTTGAGGGTTTTACATAACCCTTCTTTATCAGGCTGAGGTCCTTTTCATCAAAGTGGTCTCTGAATAAATGTGGAAGAACACTATCCACTCAATCAATAGCTCAATTTTAAATCAGACTTACAAGTGTGCCAAACAAAAGTAAAATAATATGCAAGGTTGAGGTGTTTATAAAAAAGACACTTATTACGGTCAGGTCAGAGACTCATCCCTAAGTCTGTTTAACAAACATCTATTTCCATTCATTATTTTACTAGTCATTTGTTCCAGAATGAATACAGGCTACACATAAAGTATGTAAAAGATAGATAGATAAATATACTTTATTGACATCTAGTGATATTATCAATTATTATTATTATTATTATTATTATGTTTACATAATATTGAATTGATTATGCAACATTACCCTATGTCTTTACGACCATTTAATTCAAAAGTAGCTTTGAAACATACTTTTCAATAACAAAGTGTGAACAGAAGTGAACAGGAGTGAACAAAAGTGAACAGGAGTGAACAGAAGTGAACAGGAGTGAACAGAAGTGAACAGAAGTGAAGTTTAATCACAGACTGAAATTGAAACCACGCTCAGAGTGACACAGCGACAAAACGCTTGCTTAGCTTTTATTTGAAGAAAGTTATTGTTTTCGTGAAGTTATCGACTGTAAGTCCCAAAAGGACGTAAATAGTCTAACACTTGAGTGTAAAACAGTATGTAAAACAACAAAATCTGAATAAAAACCCATCAGATTGACGAGTGTCTGCTAGGCGCTAGCTTAGCTGGCTCGCTAATTGACGTTCGCTAACGTTAGCTTGAGCATTAGTTTCTCTTTCAGACTCACCGCTGTTGAACCTTTCTTTACGGCTTCTTGTGCATACTCCACTTGAAAGAGATGGCCATCGGGGGAAAACACGGTGATAGCCCTGTCATATCTTGCCGCCATTGCACTGTAATTCGCGTTCACTCACAAGAAGGAAAAACACTTCCAGCAAAATGATTCAGCTTGTTAGCTACGAGATGCTCAGTGCGGATACCGAGTGTTGAAAACTGCGCATGCGCTTAACCTCTGAACTGAGGCGATACCAAATCACGGGTTGCGCAGAGAAAAGATGTCATGGAATTTAATAGGATAGTCAATATTTTATATTATAAAAATATTTTTAAGTTAGAAATAACAGATAACAGAATAAACATCAACCGACTTTCTTTCTTAATAACTAAATGTGATTGACTAATTCAATTAGATTGACGATGGATACAATATGCGGGAAACGGTTGCAATGTATGTAAACAATAAAACGTAAAACTTGGTTTAAAACGCATTTTATTGTCTACTTTTGCCTAACACTGCTTGAATAGTTACCGTAGTTTATTCTTTAGAAAAAACTGCCACCCCCCCCCTCTTTTTTGTTGAGCTTTCCATTTCCCGTGGTTTAGGACTAAATCTGGACTGTTCCATAATGTGAAATAGGTGAACTTGTAATCCAATCAAGCGAAAACACGGACGCATTAAACTGTGTTATAAAGTGTGCTAAATTAATTTTATTCATCTCGGGTGTATTTTTACACCACGTTTTTTACTTGTCGTTGAAATAAACCGTAAACCCACACGGCGTTTTGTAATTTGTTTTGTCCACCCCCAAAACGGACCACTGCATTACAACATCGCCGTCCTATTCTGTACTGTCTGATCGGAGTTGTACCGATGTGTTAAGTGTGTTAGCAGTCTTTCGACTTTTATGCCCTTGTTCACTTAAATTTCAAAGGGTATCACCATGTCGGTGGCGTTTGCACCTCACAGGCAGCGTGGGAAGGGTGATATTACACCCGCAGGAATACAAAAGGTAATTCATCTTTTCTTTTTTTTTTTTTTTAGCTGCGACTCAGAATGGAGGCACCAGCCGCTGCTAGCCGTGTAGCTAATCAGTGTAGCGGTGCCCACTCAGGACCAGGTGTGAAGAGATCGTGAACAATGTGCAGCGGGGGGGAGGCAAAGCGCGGTGAATACGAACCCGTCTAGAGTGGGGGGAGGCCCATGTGTGTAGACTATGAAGCATTGGTCGATTATTCGGACCAAAGTAACATTATATCACACATGAATGGAGGCCTGTCGTTTTGTTAGCTCAGGACAGCTAGCTAGCGCGACCCGTCTTTTGTTAGCTAGAAATGCACACTCGCATATCCTCTAAAACGACCCCCCCCACTCCTCAACCCTCTTTGCATTCAATTTAAAGGCTGAGAACAATGTGCAAGCCAAGTAGTAAACATGCATAATCACAATATCGCAGAATAGTCTAAACACGTGATTAAATCTCTATATTCACTCCTGCAGTTACTTGATGAAAACAATCAGCTCATCCAGTGTATAATGGACTTCCAGAGTAAAGGCAAGACAGCAGAGTGTTCACAGTAAGTTACACAACTGTATGTTTCCTGTTAACAGTCTTATTCATGTTGTTGTTCCTGTCCTAACTTGTATTGATGTCTCTCCTCCACCTGCTCAGTTATCAACAGATGCTGCACAGAAATCTAGTGTACCTGGCGACGATAGCAGACTCCAATCAGAACATGCAGTCCCTCCTCCCTGCTGTGAGTATTGGACCCTTTTTGATAGTTCCTTTTTGAGCCCACCACGAATGTAAGCCTAAAGTTTGTGGAGTTAGTTTGTTGTTTATTTACACTACCCCATTATATCATGTAAATGGATGTAATTGAAGTGCCCATTGGCTCTTAATGCATTTCATTGAACAACTTTTTCAGTTGTTGATGGCCCAAGATAGTGACTGTGTGTTTTCCCTTTCGTATAAACCATATATTTTAAACGTTTTTATCCATGCTTGTTTAAGGGAAATCACATTTTGACTTGATAATGATATTTTTTTCTTGGACATCTTGTTTTTTTTAATTTTTTATCTTGTTTATTTCTTTTCAGTGGCTGAAGCTCTCATGTGTTTGTGGGCCAGCTGATGTGTGTTTTTTGTCTCTTTTGTTGTGCGCCTGCAGCCTCCCACTCAAAACATGCCCATGGGCCCTGGTGGGATGAACCAAAGCGGACCTCCTCCTCAGCCTCCTCACGGTCACAACATGCCCTCTGAGGGTATGGTCAGCGGCGGCCCTCCAGCCCCACACATGCAGAACCAGATGAATGGACAGATGCCTGGTAAGTGACCCCCCCCCCCCCCCCCCCTCCCCAATTCTCTTCACCTTCCCTCCCTTGCCTTCCTTTCCCCTTCTTTTTCCCTCAGTCCCTGTCTCACTTTGGTTGCCTAGCAACAGCACAGAACTGTGAGGGAGGTCGCTCTGCTGGAGGATGATGTCACCAATTTGCTCTGGTGGTCTCAGACTTGTACACCTTTAATTGTGGTTATCCTCTTTTCTTCATGCGTTTCTTCATGTTTTTTTCAGTGTGTCCTTGGTTGCTATTTGATCCCTTCACTTCAGCTGCATCAAGCTGTTTTTTTTTTGGGGGGGGGGTTGCAACAATAAATATACATTTAGACTGTTAGTGTTATGTTAACACTTGTTAGCTCAGCCTTAGCATGATGTTTTCTTCCCAGTGCTGAAAGAATCAATATCTGGTCACTTGGGTCATTGGTTCCCAACCTGTGTTCCTGGCCCCCGAAGAGTTCAGAGGCTTTGTCTGATGTGAGGCTGTCAAATTTAAATGAGCACATACCAACTAAAATCATACAAGGACACTTCTGGATAGTTTATACAAAGATGGGATTGGGAGTTGTTGGGATTTGATTATTGACAACTTTTTAGATTTTATTCATTTCTGTTGGCCCTGTATCTTTTCTTACCCTGATTGGGTCCTTGGGGGTCCCAGATTTTCTTAAGTATTTAGGTAAGTAGGGGCTCCAAGGAAAAAAAAAAAGTTGTTACGTTATAGCTCCTGTTCAATGGAGTTGCACTTTAGTGGAATTCATTTCCCTTTTAACCCTTAAAAACTTGCCTTGCCTTATTCTTCATTTATTTAATGAAACCCCCAGAATCCCAGAGCTGCTGATTGTTTTGCTATTTTAATGGAACTCTTATAAATTCTGTATCACTGTGGTTTTAATGAATAATGCACAGTGTTAACCCTGTAACTCAGTGGTAAAAGACAAAACAGTGAATTCCACAACTGATAGATATCTACATAGTATAGATTAAAATTGAAAAGATAAATTGTGTTTCTCTTTCATGGAAATAAATCACTACATATCAGATAGGCGCACAGAACACATATTACAAAATAAAGGGTATTGCAAGTTTCATGTTTAATAAAACTTCCAATTGACATTTTTAATGATGGTTGTGAATCATCTCTGTTGCTGTTTTCCAGGTCCTAATCACATGCCCATGCAAGGTCCTGGTCCCGGCCCCAACCAGCCTCCCAACATGCCCAGTGGCTCTATGAATATACCCCCCAGCAGCCATGGCTCAATGGGTGGCTACAACCACACTGTCCCTTCTTCCCAGGGCATACCAGCTCAGAGTCAAATGAACATGACCCAGGGCCAGCCGATGGGAAACTATGGGCCTCGGCCAAACATGAACATGCAGCCCACTCAAGGTAAATCAACTCATTTGGGGATTTTACATCATTCAGTAGTATTTGAATAACCATGTAATGCTTGTTAAGGTTTTGGGCCTTCTACAGTTTGAGAGATAACTCTTAGCCTCTTGGTCTAGGTCCAATGATGCACCAGCAGCCTCCCTCTCAGCAGTATAACATGCCTCCTGGTGGTGGTGGACAGCACTACCAGGGACAACAGAACCCAATGGGCATGATGGGTCAGGTCAACCAAGGCAACCATGTCATGGGGCAGAGGCCAATGCCACCCTACAGACCCCCGCAGCAAGGTATACCGTCAGAGTGTCAGAAAAGTGTGCAAGTTGTGTGTGACCCTCCTGCTTTTCTTACTCGTGCTCATCTTAATTTCCTCCATTTCCACTCCTGTAGTCCTGCAACCCACGGACTCCAATCATAAAATTAGTCAAGTGACCCAAAGAAAGCTTTCTAATAAAAACTAGTGGCAAGGACTCCATCCCCTCTACTCTCCCCGTCACACAGCCGATCCAACAACACCTTGAATCTACTTGTGTGTATGTTGTGTGTATGTGTATATAGGACCCCCACAGCAGTACCCAGGGCAGGAAGACTACTATGGGGACCAGTACAGTCACGCAGGACAGGGAGCCTCAGAAGGTAGGAGAACCCTCCAGTCACTTGGAGAAAATCAACCAAAAATAAATCAATTTAAACCCAGGACTTGTGTTAAAACACAAATAATGCAAAGAGACTGTGACAAAAGCATTGTATCAGTCTCTTCATTATTTTCTGGGAAATCAGAGTGACTTAGGGAAAAATATCCGATTTGGAAAAAACTCCACAATGCATCCAATTTTTCTATGTGCTACACCACAGATAAGTAAACATGCACCCAGTCTTTCATAGCCAACCCCCAATTGCTCCACCTCTCTGTTGGTGTGAAAGAAAAGTTAGGCTAAGTTTTATCTGTGAGAAGGCCAAAGCTGTACCCAAGTTGTATAAAATCATGTCAATTAGTCAGATTTTAAAAGGACGATGCTGCATATGCAGAATGAATATTCATATTCATGAAGTGCTTCTCAAACGACGTGCAAACTATTTGATTTTTTTTCAAATGAATTGTATGTAGAGACGGTAAACAATCATCAGGAATTAAAAGAAGAACTAGGAATGTATAAACCATCCCCTATTGTAAAGAATCATTCTACTAGTGAAGAGGTGCTTTCATTACTTTATTAAAGAGTCTTAAGAAACAACTCCTTCTCTTTCTTTGTCCTATTAACATTTACTTATTTGTTGTTTGTTGTTTGTTTTTTGTTTTTGTTTCTTCTACTGACAACTCTGTTTTCCTCAGACCTTTCGAACATGTTTTCCAATGTTTTGAACTAAAGGAAAGGTATTTGAGAGAAAGTTTACAAATGCACCCACAAACAAAAGCACAAAATAGGCCTGCGTCCAGACACACTTTGTGCATCCCCAAACTTCTTAAAAACATAATTAGTTTTTCTTTATACCACTAAGATTATCATAACTTCCTTAAATGCCAAGCATTACCTGAATATACTAAAGCTATACGCTTCAATTAAGTTGATTTAGGTTGTGAGGATTACAGTCTGCCAAATTAAAGCTTTGGAATTCCCCCCAAAACTTCTGAAAGGGATCTTATCTTATGTGTGATGTTTGTTTGTTTAGGGTTTTTATTGTCAGTTAGCATGCATTGTTTTCACCACTTGCTGTTAAACTGTATAGCCATTAGCTTTTTTTAAAAACTGATATTTTAGAGCTCATTAACTTATCCATCTTAGACTTCAACACTTTATAAGTGATCCTTTCTTTACTTTAACTTCAAAGCCTTTGCTGCTACACTGTTTGTCATCTATTAGAAAGTATCCAATCGTATCTCATATCTGGCTCTACCTGCCAGCGAATGCTTTGTTGCAATCATGATCTGGAATGGAAAGAGTTTCTTTCCACCTTATAGCTTAAAAAAAGGGTTTATTTCTCCTTTACTGTTGTGCTGTGATCATCCAACTATCACATTGTGTGCTTTTGCCCCCTGAAGGTAATGCCCAGTATGGCCAACAGCAGGAAGCATACCAGCAAGGCCCACCCCAGCAGCAGGGCTACCCTCCTCAGCAGCAGTACCCAGGTCAGCAAGGCTACCCTCCACAACAGCAGGCATATGGTGAGTTATCTTCCCTTGCATATGAGGCACATATTTGTCCAGTAGGAGGCACTATTAGCTTCCTTTAGCTGCATTTTTATAACCACTGAATATACTCCTGGTGGTTAGTGCCCCTTGAAATTGTTTCTTTGCCAAATGCAAGTCAAGATATGAACAAGAACAAGGAATTAAAGGACCAATTTAATGAATGGTTAGGGGATTGGAGCTTGTTGGAAGAGAAATCAGCAGTAGTGACTGCAGCCACTTTCTCCTGATTATACAGTTTAATACATCAAACTGTTCTGAGGGAGCTGGGGGGGGATCTTTGTACGATGGGTACGTACTATCGTCAGGCAGTGTGAGCAGACATTTTGAACTCTCAAGTTTTTGCATTTTGGATAAAAAGTTGAGTAATGCCCTACTGTAAACCAGGAGTTCTACCCTAGATCCTTTAATTAAATGAAATTTGTATTTAGTAATAGAAGATGGAAACTTGATGCTGTAAGTAGCCACACCACATCATTATTAAAACATCTAAAAACGCATGACACTTCTAAATCTTTCAAATAAAATAAAAAGATTAAAGCAGGGAGAACACTACACTAAACTTTAGTAACTTAATGGTTTTCTTATTGAATGTGTGGCAATGGAATTTAACATAAAACATGTTAAATAAAAAAAGTTCCATGTGAATGAAGGTTTTTAGGCTGTTGCAACTCTTTGGTCTTTCTTCTTATTATTTTTCAGTCTTGCTTTCCATCACTAAGCCTCTGTCAGAGCCAGAGCTCATGTCAGTAATGAGCTAGCAGAGGGGCAGAGGCTGTGAGGTGAGATCCATCTGGCACACGCACACATGCTTTCTCTCACAGGCCTCCACAAGGTTGTGCTCAACAGCATCGGGCATTATGAGCGCCTAACGATGCTGCGTGGGCCTCATTTGACTTCGGCCCCAGTCAGGCTGTGCTCGGTTGTTCACTGCACCTGCATAGACAGCCACAGTGTACGGGGGCTGATGAACAGATTTCTTTTTTTTTTTTAATGAAGCCTGCCCCTCCTAATGAAAACCAACAGAGTCTCCTTGATGTCTCCTTTCATTAGGGAATCTCAGCCCTGCTCCAACCTGACTCACTTATTCTCATTCATTACTGAGTCAGGCGTTGTGGAGGCCGCCTAAACAAATGGGTCAGACATATCCACCATCATCTCTTTGTCATCCATCAGCCTTTTTTTTATTTTTTATCCCACCTTATTAGTGATAGTAAACTCACAGGGATTCTCTAGAGTCCTCAGAGTAAGAAGGAGGAAATGGAAACGGTTAATGAGCAAAAGTTGAGCTGCTCGGACTGGGTTCCTTGTTTGAGTCCAAACCTGAATTGTTTTTTTATTTTTTACAAGTTACATATCTTTTTGAGCAGTTGATAATAAAAAAAAAATCTACCTTTTATTCAAAGAAAAATGTGTTTGGTTTGAATGTTATTCAGGACATTAGTGTTTATTACAAATGGTCTTGTAGTGCTTTTGAAGATTGCGTTTTTGTTAGGGTGCTTTTTGTTTGCCGTACAAAACTGCTCCTGGATTAAAACAAGCAGCACGCAGGTGTTGCAAAAAAAAAAAGAAAACAGGATGATGGTTATAAAAGGCGAGAAGTAAAATGATCGAATAGTCTGATTTGACTGCCAAACAGCAAATTCACCTTACTTTATCTTACTCTGTCGAGCATATATGATTTTTAAACTGCTTTCTCTACATTTGCTGTAGGTCCCTCTCAAACTGCCCCAGGACAGTATCCTAACTACCCTCAAGGGCAGGGACAGCAGTATGGAGCCTATCGCCCTCCCCAACCTGGACCCCCACAAGGCCAGCAGCAGCGCCCCTATGGCTACGACCAGGTGAGTATAACTAAAACACAAGAGAGTCACAGAGACGTATTTATGACTCCCTCTTAGTCCGTCCCTCTTGTTATGTTTATTGCCAGTGTTAGTTGTGTATTTTGTGTACCAGAGACCAGTGTGAGTGAACATGAACATTTAAAGTTAGTATGATATGCATGTTGCCATCATATTGGGGGTTAATTCTGTTCTTCCAAACTTGTGTGCGTGTGTGTGTATGTTATTGTCTTTCATTGTTAATTTGAATATTAATAAAATACTTCCTGGCTAATGTGGAATGCCGATTCAGTGAAATATGAGGGCTTTAAGACGAATCTTCCTTGAACATGATACAGACTGCTCTCGTGTTTAAAGGGCGATCTATTTGTTGCCCTGTATTTCCTGTGGTCTTATGTGGGGACCACAGCTACACTTTGATATCTTTATCTTTGAATATTCAGGGGCACATGAGGAAATAAAGACCCGGGGATTTGAACCCCTGACTAGCTCTGTAAGAAGCAAAGGTAATGGTTGCTGTGAAGACCTCAACGTCCAATCTAGACGTTTGACCACCTAGTCTTAATTTGCATCTCTTATGTTTCTTCTGTCTTTTTCTTTTTCTTGATCTTCCTTCCATCTTTCTCCTGTCTTATTTTTTGTTCTTTTCTTTGTTTTTATGTTTTCTTTTTTTTTCTTTTTTTATTAACCAGGGGTCGAAATGTAAGTCACGAGGTCCTGAAACACAGCATGCTTAGTCTGCAGACACAGCCAAAAGTTTAGCACTTTGACTGTGTTCTTAATCTCTGCTTTTTACAACACTGGTTTCTATTGTCCCTTCCTGTAGCACAATTTGCAATTTAATGTTATGTACGACAGACCCAAATCCTATTGTTCCTTCCAAATTAGTTCCCATTAATGTCAAACACATACTTCGACCCCTGCTTAGAATTCCATCAACTACAGTTGTTCTTGCATTGAATTCAATTGAATCTAGTTTCCACTGTTTAATAAGGAATTTGCCATTCTGCGGCTGAGGTATCCAGTTAGAATTTAGAGTTCCTGAGTTATAAGGCCATGCTGCCACCTGCTGGTCAATACCAGCAAATGCAGGCATAAATCATGTTGTGGAGTATTATATGGTTTAAACCACAGACGTTTGTTTGCAACATATTGAGATTTGTGAATTGAAGTTCTTACTTTCCCTTTTTTAGAAGGTCACTAACAAAGACATTTCTCTCCACAGGGCCAGTATGGAAATTACCAGCAATGAGAGATGGTCACAGCAACCCACACAGCTCTGCTCTGATCTCTGTTGAGCTTTGACATCTGGTCAACTGCTAAGCAGACTTAAGTGATGGCCGTAGCTCCCTGAGTTTCTCTCAGACACGAACACACAACTGAAAATACAAGATACATTTTCCCCTGTCTTTGGGCTTGCATTCTGGCCTATAACATGCATTCAGTTTATCTTGAACATGGACTTGATAAAGTGAAAGTTTATGACTCACCCTCTGCTCCAGTATGTCTCAAAGCAGCAATGCCTTAAAAATGGAACTGCCTTATCCTTTAGCATTGCAGATTGTGACACCGGCTTACAAAATTTTGGATATTGGAGAAGATTTAAACGTACAGTTTCAGTCTACTGTGGTGCATTGTTCTTTATCCTTCAGCTCCTTGGTCATAAGAAGCAATAATGCCAGCAGTAGGTCAATGTGTAGGAGTGTAGAGATGAAGTAATGCACCAGAAGAACTTCCCATTAGGCCATGGTACATGTCTTGATGTATGTGATGATGTAAAAATATATTTTATGCTTTTTCGATCAAGCTAACTTTGTATAAGACATTGGAATCTAGTACTGAAGCTGTGTTATTTCATGAAGTGTATGTGTCAATGTTTTCTTTTTTATGAAGATCACATCCAGCACATTTTCTTTTTGTATTTCTTTGTTTTGTTTATTTGTAAAGCTATTCAATTGGACCTGATACATTAGTGACACTGTATGGATTCTTTCTGTAAAAATGGAAAATGAACTGAAATAAACAGAAACTTCTCAATGGACATCAGCATGCAGAGAAAGTGCTCCATCTCTAATCCAAAAAAAAGAAATGCCTCTGTGCATAAAAATGTGTTTTATGTCAGTAAGAAAATTTCAGACTTAGATCTTTTTTTTCCCCCCTTTTTTTCACAATTCCTGACCAAATTTGTGGCCATATGCCCAGACATATATTTGGGAAGAGACCATATGTAGTAGATACAGCCACAAATTTTAAATGTCTGCTCCCTGAAGTCCTTTTTTTTTTTTCTGTACAAGCACCTGAATCTTGTCCATTGACTGCAAACCTGGTATGAGACATTTTTCTGAAATATTTTGTTTTGTTAGTCTTGACAATGCTGGAATCCCCGTCTCCCTCTTTGAATAAACGTCTAAGTTGATGTCATTCGAATAGTGTTGTGTGTGAATAATAAAGATTGTTACTGTCAAATATGTAACATAAGATGTGAAAATAATGTTCTGAAATGGATTTTCTTAATTTCAGTTTCAGTGCAGTTTTATATCACTGGCTTGATATCTGTTTTATGGTGCAAACTTTATTGATCCCACATGTACAGTGGCATAAAGAAGAGGACTTCATCATCCTCGTATTGTTTATATGGCTGTTTTAACATTTTGCATTCAACACCCCATCCCAGTGGTCACATTTGTGTCATGGCAATGTATAACTGTACAATAAATTGGAAGAATCTTTAATATATTTTGACTTGTGTTATTTATAGCCTTTCATTGACAACTTTAATTAATAAAATACTGCAAATCCATTCATCCCCCCGACAACATAAACAAGATGTGCGAGTTTGGTGCCGTCAGAATGTGACAGTTTGATGTAATTGTTTTGTCTTCATCTGCTATCTGGTAATCAGTTTCCTACTGATAATGACCCAGCACCGCTCAGCAGCATGTCTGCTTTGTCCAGATGCATCCAGAGAGGTCCAGAGCACATTTACACCCAAAATTACCTTCCGTGTCCCTCTCTCCCCCTTTTGCCTTCCTCCAGAGAGGGAGAGGGACTACCTGTCACATTGGGGGGAGTGATACAGATGGTACACCAGATGTGTGGCCGAAGCACGTGATGGGAGGCTGGTGTTGGTGTTAAGAGGGCCACAGAGTGCTCAGGTTGCCTCGGTGCCGGCTGATGAGTGTTTGTGTGTCAATGTGTGTGAGTGCAGCATGTGAGAGGTGTTCTCCAAGAAAGAAAACATGGTTGAACTTTTTTTTTTTTTGAGTGGGCCTATGCAGACTGTTTTTATGTCGATTTGAGTACCCCTGCTCAGGTTTAGTGGCATCCTAGTCACCTCACCATCCTGCTGCTCCACAGCTGGCCGCCCCACCCCTTCCCAGCTGCCACTGGGGCTCCCCCCTGGCCCCTCAGCTTGGCAGAGCTGGTGTTTTGGGCGCTCCCCCACCAGTCCTCCCTGGCAGCTGCTGCCCTCAGCTGCGCTCTCGCAGACGGTATTGGGGTCGGACAAAGTCACTCCTCCTGTGACTGTGTCTGGGGCCATTGGGGGAGGATGAAGAGGAGGCAAGGAGACGCCTGCATCCTATGAAATATCTCCTTTAAGTGGTCAGGATTTGAAATTGATAGGCACATGACAAAAAGTAAGGAATTTGAAGACTTCTTGTTTACCCTGAAGTCTTAAATTACCACATTAAGTTACTAAATGTTACAAAAATCTAGTTAAACACAATCTACCTCTTGTCTGTGTAGACCTAAAAGACTTATTAAGACAGCTAATGGGACAACATTACTCCTTGCATGTTCCATGGTTGTATGGCAAATAGTAACGTGGCGGTATCATTTAGGAGGATGATTATCTTGTTCGATATTTTGATAATTATAATTCAGGGCACTTTTAGAAGAGGCTCCTGAGCACTGAGGGGAAAATGACATTGTGCATTGTGATCATAGCTGGCAGGCAAGATGTGAGCTCTCTCTCTCTCTCTCTCTCTCTTTCTTTCTCTCTCTAACTCTCCCTTTCACTCTCTCATAGCCACACTCTCAGTGTGACAGAAAGTCTATGGGGAGGTATAAGAGGTAGTTATGGGGGGAATGCAGCAGCCTCCACAGTTTAATTGGAGATGTGTCACACTAAATAAATGGTGCAAAAACAAGCGCTGACTGGAGGCTTGAGGGAGGGGCCCTGGGGATGCAGCCTGTTTTATTGGGCAGGAGCTTTGCACCGCTCCAGGGTGAAACTGGGCTATGCACTGCTGAGATACCCTCCAACCATCAAACCACCAGGCCTCCCTCCCAAAGATGACTGTGGAGGCATTAATTTCACTCTGCAGAAAGGCATCTTGTTGGTGCTGTGGAGAAGGTGTGGGTGAACTTGGTAACCCGGCTGTTTCCTCCTCCAATGAAGGGCACATCATCTTCCTCATCTGCAATTTCAATTTCTGCACGCTGCTGAACAAATCCATAATTGTAAAAAATGTTCAGCCAATGCTGTCTGCCTCACTTGCTCCTAGATCTTACGTATGTCAATTTATGTTTTGAGAAGACGGCAGCCAACAGCCTGCAGCCAATCTTATTTCCCCATGTAATCCATACATGACCTCCAAGATACCAGGAGAATGTGTTTTCCAATATTCTATCAATGTTGATATAACTGTTGTCTTGCCTCGCTCATGCCCTGTCTGTGCGTGTGTGTGTGTGTGTGTACGTGCGTGTGTGTGTTTGTGTGTGTGTGTGTGTGTGTGTGTGTGTGTGTGTGTGTGCACCTTAGATTCTAGAGTCCATGGCACGAGGTTTGATTTACCTCTACAGTGTGCCGCAGTAATTGGATGTGACACCATTCTCTCTGCTCTCCCTGGGGGATATAACAGGAATCTGACTATTATGGCCGCAGTCATGAATATGTCACGACAGCTGCAAACAAAGGCCTGTGATTTGGATAAGGCTCCTCTGTATGTTGTGTCTGCGCTGATATATGAGATAAATGCTGCAAGGGTAAATTAGTTTTCTGTAAAGTAATTTGCAGTGTTTACAATGAATGATTAATTGCCATTGTTTGGGGGAAAAACTATGTTAGAGACGTTGTTCGATATTACATGTTCATCATGACTGCCAGATACATATTTGCCTCACAGATATTTGTGGAGGCTATTACATCTTGTTTCAAAACAACTGGAAAGAATTTTTGGACCTGACATTCACAAACAGGTTGATCCCCTAGAAAGACATTGTTTTACATGCATCTGATGTGCAGTGCTTTGTTTAAACCCCATCGTTTGTTGAGGGTTTAGCCATCAAATCAAATTGAGTGTGCTGTTTTGTATGTGTTCTAGCCTCATAAAAGTAGTCTCTGGGTGGAATAGCAGGTATGCTGATATCAGTATTCCCACAGCCTGCATAATTGCTGTAATTTGCTTTCCCTTTGGGTAATCTGTAAACATGGCTGTTTTGATGTTTTTGGCATCCTCCATTGGCTGGGCTCTCTACTCCTCCAGTGGAGCCCCCATCCCAGCCCAGGGTGACACAAATAGATCCTTCCCCAGAAGGCGCACGTAGTTCCACATGGGCACAATCAATACGGCCCAGTTGCACCAGGTCTGTGGCGGTATTAAAAGAACCCTGTGAGCTGCTTCTCACCATGTTGGCGTTTTAGGGAAATAAAGCTATTGATCCTCCAGGGCCTCTGGCGGAGCATTAACCTGGGCCTACAAATTAGAACGTGCTCATCTGGACACATCTGCCTGCAATGTTCCCAAAAAGCCAGTCAAAGGGAGAGAAAAGGAGGGCTGTGAGGCCTGCTGCTTCGAATGATGAGTAGAGCGCTACTTGACGTCCTTGTCGGAGCGGGGGAGGCGTCTGGATGCCCAGGACTTCCATTAGAGGCCCAGGATGGTGGCATGGGTCGATGTGGTAAGGTTTGGTTGGGGGTACTCCATCTCAGATCAGTGTGGTTCCTTCCCCCACAATGCAGAGAGAGAGGGGGGTGACCCACAGTAAACCTGATCTCCTGACTGGAAGGACAATGAGGGAGAGGGTTGCTGGGTCCAGTTCATGTTCCAAGTGTCAAAGACTTTTCTCCTTTTGAACAATTTTATATGAAAGAAAGAATCTACCGGTACATCATTTTCTATGAAATAGCCAGACTGTTCAAGCATGACATTTTTAGGCAGATTCCCTCACAAAGCACGCAACAAACAGTAAATATCATTGTCACCTTATATGAAATATAGCATAACTTTTTGGATTTAGTACAAAACTGAGTTTCATTTTCACATAACATCTCTATTTTTCTGCAAAACCTAGAATTACAACCTCCCTCCATGGCACTATGAGGGTATTAGAGCCATTGATTCAATGTTATCACTTGGTGGGGTGTCCTACAAGTCAGTAATTATATTTGACAAAGGATCAGAGTCTGGGTACACTGAAAGAATCACAAACAGTTATGTTGATCTATAAGCATAAACATAGCTTGCCTAAAGACCATTTGGATTGATGTTCCCCTTTTTACACCATTCCTTCCTCACTTCCTGAATGACTTGTGACCCCAGTTTGACCCCTATCATTAAACACACAATGTAAATCAAGTTAAATTTTTTAAGTTAAGTGTGCCACTTACAAATGTTGAATACTAACTTTCGATATTGGTGAGCTGTTCTTTGCTTTAATTTTTTTTTACAGGGTTAGATATGTGCATACTTGTGTAAATAAAGCTTTATGAAAACACCTGCTTGATTAGTTTTCCTTCTTTTTTTAACCATGTCTCCCTGACTATATCCCTGTTTAAAGTATGACCACAGTTTGATCCCATCCCTTTTTCCTATCAAAAAAAATAATTCAGATCCTTCCCCAGATTGAGACACAAAATGTCCCTATTTATTTTGAGGGTGTCATACAAATTAATACTTTTGTTAATCCTGGGCCCAGTTGTTCAAATGTAATTTGATCAGATTGTAGCTATTAGATTTGATCAAATCTTCAAAACAGGTCGTTATAAAAGGATTACAAATATCAGATGTGATCAGGTAAGCCAGTCTTGTTTATAACCAGGATAAGAATTTTTGTTTGCATTGTTCAAAAGATTGGAATAACTTTGACACAAACAATCAAGCTTATACCAAACTAAACAACATTCATTTTTACAGAGAAGTTTTTTTTTCCACATATTTTGCTCTTGAATTGCTGTATTATACAGGGATATATAGATGTAGTAGATGTTAGGGTTTTGAAAACAATTAAGGATTTCGTGCCCATAAAATATTTCACCAAATAGCTCTTCATATTATTAATAAAAATATGTGTGATTTAAAGCAGTTTTGAAGTTTTATGGATTTTGGCGCCCCCTTTGGAAGTGTACAGTATGAAGTCTAATTCAGAGCTCTGGTAATCAGGATTTGGTGATCCTTAAAAGTCTGTATCTGGATCCTATCCGGTATTTTTACTGGGGGTAAAAGTAAGATTTATTACTGTACAGGAAAAAAAAAGGCAGATTTCACAATTTGGATCATTCCCATTCCTGATTGACCCTTTGAACTTCCAGGTCCAGGAGGTCAGATTCTAAAAGATAGAAACACAAATACATTTACATGCACCATCAAGTTAAATGTATCTTTCTTCAAACTTATATTTCGAACTAAAACCTCAGATGACCCCAAGTTTTTTCTTTACACATAAAATGTGATTTTCCAGATTTATTTCACCCTGAAAACGCACTAAAATTGTCAGGCACTTACAGTATACTG